CCTGGGCTAGTGGAAGGTGTCCCTGCCCATGGCAGGGGTGGAACTCAATCATCTTTAAGATCTCTTCCAACCCAAACCACTCCATGATTCCATGATTATGAGCAGGAGAAAATCCATCCCTTTTTAATATCTGTAAAGCTTAACTAATTTCTGATTCCGCCAGACTCATTGGCTTTAATGTTCCCCTCACTTTGTATCTCTTTTTCATCCAAAAGATTTATTTGTAAATAAATTCCAGTTATTTGTAACTAAATTCCATTTATTTGTAACTAAATTCCAGTTTTCTCCAGCTGAGATGATGCCATGGGAATGTTGACATCTTTTGAAGCCTGGAAATGATGAAATGCAGCCAGAGCAGCTGAGCCTGAGCCCTGACCATTCAGTTTTTCTGTGAAACACACAAAATTTCTCATTTAAAATATATTTACAGCAGCGAAACAGTGTGGGAGGGGCACAGCACTGTGTGCTGCTGGTGTCATTGTTTTCTGAGTATGATTTTCCTCATGTTACTGCTTGGGAAAATGGAATAATCCTGTTTATAATTGCCTTAATGTGGGCAGGGCTTGATTTTTTACCTTTTAGAGTGGCAGTAACTTGTTTTTCCTCTGTGAATGAGTAAGTGGAAGTTGCTAGCAAAGTGTAGAATAATGTATATAATAAAGTATGTGTAGACTTTTCATTAAATTAGGATTAAATGCCTTTCTACAAGATTTGTGGCAGTGAATTTTTGTAAGCTTTTGGCCTTCAGTGTATTTTTCTAGTGTAGATCTTGCTGCAGGATCAGATTATTAGGAAACAAATCCTGTTTCTTGTGACATCTGAAAGGTCTTGCCACATCTACAGCAAGAAAACTCTTCTGGAACCAAAGAAATGGCATCATTTTACTTACTTATTCTCAGTTTTTGGTACAGAAAGGTAAAGACTGGGAATCCCTGGCATTTCCCACATCAATTAGGATTTGCTGTGTGGTTCACAGCCACGTTTGTTGCCTCCTGTGATCATTGGCAGCTTCAGAACAGAGGTTTGACAAGAGCCCAGGGTCCTTTGCTCCTCTTCTGGGTTTAAACAAAAGCAAAGATGTCAATAAACACTGTCAGAGCAGTTATGAAAATTGGATTTTATCGTGGTAAGGTTTGAAAGGAGGCACTTGATATCTTCTGTACAACCTAACATGTGGTTACTGAATAAATCAGTGAGATCAGTGTGGTTAAAGTCACTGTTTGTAGCAAAACACCTCTGTTTCTAAAGGATTTGACAGGATTTAATGGGATCTGTTTCTCTTCCAGTTCAATTATTGCTGATTCTTGGTCAAGCCTGTGGCCTGCTCATACGTGGAAGGGTTTTCCAGAACCAGCCCCACAAGTTTCACCTCCTTGTCTCTGACCTGAGTCATCCCAGAATGTTAAATGGGAGCAGTAATGCCCAGATTTAATCTGAAAAGAGAGGATTCACTTCCAAGTGGGTTTGTCCATGTGGTGACTCCTGAAACGTACAAGGAATCAACAAAACCCATACAAATAAACAAACATGAAGCTGTGTCAGGGCAGGGTTAGGTTGGATATCAGGGAAAGGTTCTTCCCCCAGAGGGTGGTGGGGCACTGAACAGGCTCCCCAGGACAGTGGTCACGGCCCCGTGGCTGACAGAGTTCAAGGAATGTTTGGACAACACTCTCAGGGACATGGTAGGATTTTGGGGTGTCCTGTGCAAGGCCAGGAGTTGGATTTCATCCTTGAGGGTCCCTCCCAACTCAGTATATTCCGTGATTCCAGCAGGGCTGGAGGTTTGTAGCTCCAGAGACCTGCGTTTAATTTGCACTTTGGCACTTTGAGATCCCTTTCGAGAGCAGAGTCATTAAGAAAAAGTGAATTAAGTTTCACCTGGGGTTTCTCTCTGTCTTTGAATTTCTCAGATAATTGATGTGGTTTTGCAACCACATCTCAAAAAAAAAAAAAACAACCCAGAAACCAAGGAGCACTTCCCTCTCTCCCTCTGCCTGAAACAGCGCTCAGGTGGCAGCAGGTCCTCCTTCTTCTCCTCCTCCTGCTTCTCCTCCTCCTCTTCCTCTTTCTCCTCCTCTTCCCAGGGCTCTTCCAAACCCCCAGGCACCTGCAGCAAAGCAGAACACAGGTCCCTTTTGATTTTTCCAGGGTGACAAGTTCCATATGGAAACGAGATCCTGTTTGTCCCCAGTCACTTGCCCTTGGCTGAGCTGGACGTGACTAAAAATATCAGGAGCTAATTGATGCTTAGGAAACCTGTGGTGACAGTGCTTAGAGAGAGTTTGGAAATTGCAGCTGGAAACAGCTTTCATTCCTAAAAGATTTTATTTTTTTTTTTTTTTTTTTTTTACACAGAAGTAATTTTTAATTGCTGGTTAGAGAACTGAGAACTTAAAATCATTCTCTCATTTCTTTTCTTTTTCAGACAGAACAAAAATGGATTTTAAACCAAGTTTTTTAATTTTTAAATTGATGGACTTTTTTTTTTATTATTATTATTATTATTAGTTTTAGTGTCTGGCTTTGGGCTCTAATGCCAAGCTTTCAAGCCACTAACAATTAAAACCAGAGTCCTAAGCCCTCGAAATGGGTTTGTAACTGAAACAGCAGTTGGCCCTCAGCTCTATCAGGGCTACACAACCTCTTTGTTTTATCACTTAAATCCATGTCATCCTTTGGATTATTCACATGGCTGGTTTGTTTGTTTGTTTGTGCAGTCTAATACTATAATTATTGCTGAAAATGAGATTGATTTGACTTCCAGGATGCGACAGGTCAGTAGCAGATGTATTTTTGGACTCCATTTTAATAGAGCTGTGGAGGGTTTTTTGAGGCCGTGCTCTCCAGGGACTGCAAAGGAAAATTCGAGCTGTTCTCTCCACTTCTGTCTTTCAGGACTCTGTATTCTGCTGACTTGATATCCTCAATTCTGAGGAGAAACATCATATATAGAAAGAGATATTTTCAAAGCACGACAGAGTCAGCAGGAGGAATTCAGGTCCAGTTTAAAACAGGAAGAAGAGCAGTGTTGAAACTCACTTGAAAAGAAACAACCAACAACAAAACTGCTTCAACTTTTGTACTTCTGTAAATCAAAAGTCGTATAAATTGTGTGCAAAAAAATACATATGTTTAAGCATTTACATACAGGTGTTAAATTAGGAAGAACTCTCAAAGGAAAACATTCTTATCTCAAAAGTTTTCTTGTGACAGAGTGGGTTGAAAAAATGGGAAATGGGACAAATTTCAAGCTTTATTTTCTAATGAAGGCCAAAAATACCTGCATTTTAACCTAGAAATGTTACATTAGAAGTAAAAAGCACAAGCTCTTTCTGAAATGACAGGGAAATCACACTTCCATGCTGTGAACATGCTCTGAAGTCTCTGTGTCAGGTGAACACCGACAGACAATCGCCTCAACCATCAGTGGGTGAGACCCAAAATCCTCTCCCAGGCAGTGTTTAATAGTCCTGTCACTCGAATTTAGGCCAGGCTTTGACTGAGATCACTTCTTGCTCTTTTGCTCCATTTGGTTAATGTTTTCCATCATTCTCCAAATGCTCAATTGGGTTCCTCTGTTCCAGTTAAATCAGCCAAACTGTGCGTGAGCGCACACATAAAGAGACATAAATATGTAGATATTTAAAGATGTAGCAATGCTTCGTTGCTGTTTTATTTGCAGGACAGACACGTGAGATTTCCTTAATTCTGGAGAGTTTTTTCCTGGGTTTAATTGTTCCCATTGCTTTTCCAGATTGACTCCTGGTGCAAGGAGAACAGCTACGTGATAGCTGGATATTACCAGGCGAACGAACGCGTGAAAGATGCCAGGTGTGTTGGTGCAATATTTCCTTCTGTTTGCTCTTTTAGGTTGTACTTTGGACTCTGCCAGCAAAAATCATCCACATAAATCAGGCGTGTTGATTAACTTTGACAACTGTCATCTGGTTCCACATTGTCTCCCTGGTGCTGGGGGATGTGGCCTTTGTTCAGGTGCAGAAACTCCAGGCTTTCCAGAATCCCTCCTCTTCGGTGGGTACTATAAAAGGCCAGGCTTTGAACGACTGCCAGCCAGTTTAATTGCAGTTGTCAGGGAAATAGCCAAAATCTGTAGCATGTTTGCTTGTGCAGTACAGATCTTGTAAACTCTGAGTATCTTATGGAAAGTCAGAAGTGACCTAATTCTTTCTAAACTACTTAATTATCTCTGAGTTTTATTGAAGCCATTTTTTATGTGGAGAGGGATGTTCTTGAAGTGGAAGATGATGTCAGTGGCACAGTGATATCTCTTATTTATCACTTATTTTCCCCAGGTTTAGTAATTTGTTTCCCTGCTGGCTGACTCAGAGTACCCAATAAGCAGTAAAGGACCTTCCTGTGAAGCCACAATTTAGTTTCAGATCTGCATATCACATGTTTTCCCCTCTGTCTATTAGACAAATCCAGTATTGGGACTACTGAGAGTACATCATACTTACATTTAAAATAAATAAGAACAACTTGTTTAAAGTATCATGCCGTGTTCCCTGGAAGTGTTCAAGGCCAGGTTGGATGGGGCTTGGAGCAACCTGATCTACTGGAAGGTGTCCCTGCCCATGGCAGGAACTGGATGATCTTTAAGATCTTTTCCAACCCAAACCATCCCGTGATTCTCTGATTCCAGTTATTTGTTAATGTATATTCAGACTCAAGTGTGTTTTTTAAGTAACACTTGTGACTTCTAAGGTATCTAACAGGGATAAAGGCGTTATTAGTCCTTTCCTTACAAGAGAAATAACTGCTGGAGACATTTTTAAGGGGAAGATACAGTTTGTTCTGTTTGAGGTTTGAACAAATGTCACAGGCTTGATGTTTTTTTTAAACTCCAGTTTAATTTCTGAATGTAACTGGCACCACGTAGAGATTGTCACTGGCACCACTGGCACCACATAGAGGTTGTCATCTCTGAATCTGAATGCTGAAGGTTTTAAAAGATCTTTTTAAAAGATTATCTGATTTTGGTAGAACAACTGGACAGTGAGTTCAAGTGCAGACTGGGGAGAAAACTCAGTGTTCTTTTTTAAATGGCTGCCAGGGCAGAGCTGGGTGCAGTGTTTGGTCTGGTGGAAGAAGGTAGGAGGCCACAAAACATTGATTCCATGTCATCAGTGGACAATTTGCCATTCCAAACCTGTTGCCTGAGCACAGCTGAGATCTGGACCATGTGCTGCAGAGGGGAGCTGGGCATTTCTTGGCCTCCTTCTATCAGCTGTAGCATCAGCTCTCTATCTTGTTCCTGTTTGTTAGCACGCTGTGACCTTCTCACATCTCTTTGAGCCCGTTTCCTGCTGGTTTCAGCTGGGCTGTCATGGCTCACATAACTCAGTTCCTTTTTCCTTTCTGTTGCAGCCCAAACCAGGTTGCAGAGAAAGTGGCCTCCAGGATTGCCGAGGGCTTCACGGACACGGCACTCATCATGGTGAATCACTTCATTCCCCCTCACCCTCTCTTTATTGTATCCTGACTGTGGTGTTGGACCAGCCATGGAAATGCTGGGTTTTGAGTCCTTTAATAAGTAATTAATTTTCTCTTCCCCTCCAAATGCTCTGGGGAAGAGATGCAGTGACCTGTAGCCAGTGAAGTTCAAAGTCTGCAGAGAGACTGTGGTGAGCTCTCTGCCACCTCAGAGGAACTGGAGGCCTGCTCTGCATGTTCAGGCAGCACATTCATGGCTTCAACACCCCTTCTGCAGCATAAATTCTTGTCTTTAATGTCACACTCGGGGCTTTGTGTCCTTGCTGCAGTGGCAAAGGTTGTTGGCAGCTTAAATTTGGCTATGTGAACAGTGGGTGAGTGTAAGGTGCCCTGTTTTTACAAACTGACTTTGGGTTTTATTTCATCTCTTGGGATGCTGAGGAGGAGACTGAGGGGGTGTTTTTGTGTCACACACCAGGTTGACAACACCAAGTTCACGATGGAGTGTGTGGAGCCTGCCATCCACGTGTACGAGCTGCACGAGAACAAGTGGAGGTGCAAGGACCCGCACATGTGAGTAAACTTGGAGTTCAGTGGCATTTGGGTAGTGAGGGGAAACAGGTTGTCTGGGTGGTGGCAAAACTTTGTGGATGAGTGACACTGTGGATGTAGCTGACAGTGATTTTAAAGGTGTTTCTTGCTGTAGTGAGAGAGAAGAGCTGGTTCCTGTAGCCAGGCCGTGACCATTCTGCAGTGCGTGGCTTAATTTCCGGAGTGGAGGAGGTGGTGGAGATTTCCTTTGTGATTCCTATTTATCCCTGGCTGTTTTACATCCTAGTGATTTTTGTGAAGATTGGACTGAAGCCCAGAGAATCGCTGCCTCTCTCTTGGACAGCAAGTCCTACGAGACACTGGTGGATTTTGACAATCACCTGGATGACATCCGGAACGACTGGACAAACCCGGAGATCAACAAAGCTGTCCTGCACCTGTGTTAGAGGGGCTCCTACTGACTAATCCACAGGCATTCCCACTATGTACTGAAGAGAGAAAAATGCTATTTTTGAATGTAAATAGAATAATATTCAGTACCTTGTGTGGAAAGCTGACTGATTAAAGGGGAGGGGCACGTCACGTGGCGCAGTGATGTGTCCGTAAGCCATTGAATCTTTTTTGTGAGGTTCCTTGGAAGAGATGCCAGCTGTCAGTTCCAGCTGTCCTCATGGACACCATCCCACTTGTAGTGAATGTTGCTGTTCCTTGGAAACCAGGACTGCTTCTGCTTGGCCCCACTGTCCGTGTGACAAAGTTTTGACTAAGCTTTTCTAATCTTTAGAGAGGTTACTTTTTAATGATTTATGGAAATACCTTTCCAAAAAAAATCGATGCTGTCCTCAGATGAGAGATTTTTAAGGGCAAAGACATAAAATGTAAGGTGAACGGTTTCTTCTGGCCTGGTTTGGAATTGTAATTCTGTTGGCACAGTAAAATGCAAACTGCTGAGGATGTTCCATGCTCATGTGTCACCTGTTTTGCAGTGCTTTAGCATGACACAGCTACAGAGAGTATTTTAAAGGAATATTCCCAAATAATATGGTGATTCCTGCTCTCCGTGGGCTTGACAACCAGTTATTGCTTGAACGTGTTAAACACAAAGTAAATGATTTATAAAAAGCACTGGAAGCATACTAATGAGTTTGAATCTACATTTTCAGTCTACAAGAATGAAATACCTTATGAATTTTTTGCATTTTGGGGGGATTTACCAGCAGATCTCATTTTTCCTCTGATTCACACGGTGCATATTTCAATAGGTCCAAAATATATCCCTCTGATGTGAAGGCAAGCAAGTGGAATCTAAGGAGCCTGGATACAGTGTAGTTCAGCTTCTGCCTTGTCTTTCTCATTAATATTTATTTCCAGGAAGAAGTTTACTGGACAATGAGGCTTTGTATCAGACTAGAACAGCTCTTTGTAAGCCTTGTTGCCTCACTCCTCATGGTTGTTTGCCCAACTGTAGTTAAGCATAGTCTCAATCCTCTGGATTTCCTTCTATTCCTACCCAAAAATGTGTTTACAAGAAAGATCCAAATGTCACCAAATGGTCCACTTCTCTCCAAGCTCCTGCTTTTTCCTTAGTGTTAGAATCACAGGATGGTTTGACTTGGAAGGGACCTTAAAGATCATATTTCACCCCTTGCCATGGTCAGAAACAGCTTTCACTAGACCATGTTGCTCCAAGCCCCATCCAACCTGATCTTATTTTAAAACACTGAGAATGGGATTGCCAAAACCTCTTGATCTGCCTCAGCTTCAGGTTCAATAAGCACAAGTTTTACTCTTGGTCCTGGGGTAAGGCTAAAATGCTATTTGCAGCAGGGAATAGAACAGGATGCCTCCAGTCAGGTCCTGCTGTGGAGTTCCCTCCAGGTCAGATTCCACTGAGGCAGGAGGTGAGACTGGAGGTTCAGGGAGGAGAGGAAGGTTTGGTTTATCTCCCTGCTCTGCACTAGACAGGTGTGATTACAAAAGAGATTGGCATGTAGTCAGTAACCTTTCCTACCTGTGAGTCAGGCTTGCAGGAGAGGAAAATATTTTCACTTGTTGAATGAAAACATCTATTTAGCTCACAAACAACACTATCAACACGTTCCAGTGGCTGTTTCACTACACATCTATAGGAAAAGATATCCTGGGAGCAGGCTCTGCAAACCACCCAGGCTGCAGGAACAGGGCTGCTGTTTTACTTTGTACAAACACCTCATGAAATCCAAGAGGCAGATGTTATCTTTGCAAGATTCCTTGTGTGGGGTTGTCAGTAGGAGCTGGTGTGTCTGCAGAGCCACTGGAAATGTATTTTATGTTCTTTGTAACAGGATATCATAATGAAGCTTTGATCATACATATGCTAATTCAGGCTAATCTTCCCGTCCTCCCCTCTCATCCCCCTAAGACAAGGCAAACTGTGTCTCCTCATTCCCTGTGACTAACCATTGGGACACACTGCTGGAAGGGGAGCAGCTTTTATTGCTTTACCTTCCCCTTTTTTTATCTTCTGTTTGCTCTCAACTGAAGATCTGAGTGTTTTGCCATCAGCAGAGCCCGGGCTGGCTTTGAGCAGAGGACAAGGGCTGCGCTGCAGGTGTGATCTCACCTGGCCTATTTGCATTGAAGGCTGGACAAAAGGCAGCAATTCCATAAATCCAGGCAGCCACCGTGCTTTGTGAAAGAATGAGGAAGCTGCAGGTGTCAGGGAAGGCAGTGTTCCCCTTTCCTGCTGATGCACCAGGAGCAAATGCTGGTTTCCTGGCCAGCTGATCAGTTGGATTCATCGCAGGAATTTAAGGTAACTCCTTTTTAAAACTTTAGGGGGAAGAAATCTTGGGAAAGGCATCTCTGTTGCTGGAGGCCTTGTGATAGCTAGAAAGACAGTACTGGGAATAGGTGTCCTACTCATTTTTGGTTTGTTAGCAATTAATGACATGCAGGATTTTTTTTTTCTCCCTTATTCACGAAAATTTGGAAACTTGGCATTTGCCTGCTCAGATGTTTAACTCCCAGCTCTTTACCTCATCCATACGACCTGAAGGACTTGGAAATCAGAGAATCACAGAACAGTTTGGGTTGGAAGGGACCTTAAATCTCATGTCATTCCACCCCCTGCCACTATCCCTAACCTGGGATAGTGGACACCTTCCACTGTCCCAGGTTGCTCTAAGGCCTGTTCAACCTGGCCTTGGACACTTCCAGGGATGGGGCAGCCACAACTTCTCTGGGCAACCTGTGTCAGGGCCTCCCCCCCTCACAGGGAACAATTTGTCCCTAATATCCCACCTAACCCTGCCCTCTGGCAGTGGGAAGCCATTCCCCCTTGTCCTGTCCCTCCAGGTCCTTGTCCAAAGTCCCTCTCCAGCTCTCTTGCAGCCCCTTTAGGCACTGGAAGGGGTTTAAGGTCTCCCTGCATCCTTCTCTTCCCCAGGCTGAACACCCCCAGCTGTCTCAGCCTGTGGGATTCTTTTTTCCCACTCTCAACCTCAGTATTTCAAAACAGTGACAAACAGCCCCCCAAGCAGATGGGTGACAAGAGCAATGGGGTGTTGGATCAGTTGTTTTTGGGGTGCTCACAAGTGAGGTTGTTCCTGGTGCCATTTGCCCTCTGAGTTCATCACTCTGTGTGTATATGAGAATTCTGGGAGGTTTTTTCTCCATCCAGCAAGTAAAGCAGCCTGCCACTGGCATTTTCCCTCTTCCCATCTGTCGGCAGAGCTGCTCATGGGATATTCCCTCCCTGTGCCAGCATGAAAGCAAGCAAAGACCTCCCACATAACCTACCTCAGCTCATTAGAGCTGACCTGGGTGCAGGGAGAAGCTGGGAGGAGCCAGAACCCCTTCATCTGGCACAGCTGGTGCCGGGAGCAGACAGATGTGCAGAGCCCACCCCCAAGAATTCCTTATGCAAGCGACAGAGCTGCGAGGAGAGGTGACAGTGACGGATGCAGGAAGCAATCCCGGGTCTCTCTGCTCCCTGGCTCGAGGCCTAATCGCTGCACTCTGCGACCGGGAAAGTGTCTGGAGATGCCGAGTGGAGGGCACTGCTCGGAGAGCGCAGGATGCTAATGGAGGAGGCTCTTAGTGGGGTGGGCTTGTGGTTGAGTGCAGCTTGGAAAATGGCCTCGAGGGGAAATGTGCTCAATTTGCGAGCTGTGCTTCTCGTTTGGGCTTAATTCAGCTCCTGGAGTGGAGCAGGGAGCGAGCTGGTCCATATTGGGCTGGTCCAGGCTGGGCAGGCAACTTCCCTCACATCCTGCCCTGGCTCTGCTTTTCCCAGCTGGAGTTAAACACCTCAACGCCTCACCCTCCTGCACCACAAACCCTTCTTTACTCTCCCCACCGCCCCGAACCAGCCCTCCCGCCGCCGGCAGCGATTTCTCTGTGCCCAAGTATCCTCTGAGGACTTTATCGATTTATCTTTTTTTTCCACTGTCGCTTTTAGACCACATTTTTCACCCAGCCTTCTCATCCGAAAGTACACCCCAGCTGCATCCCTTCCTCTGGTTTCCAGCCATCGCCCTGCGAAAGGCGGTGGAGGCGGATTCAGAGGGGATGGAGGCAGAGGGCTGGCAGGGGTCCCGCGGGGACAGCGTGGCCAGCTTGGCACTCCATGGTCTGCCGGAGCTGTGATGAGGGAATCAGGGAAATCTGCTCTTAAAATTACCTGGTAGGTGGGCTGGGGGCAGTGGGTGACTCTGTGAGTGGTTCCAGGCAGCGCCGCTCCGGCTGCAGCGTGGCAGCACTTTGGCTGGATGCGGGCAGGAGCCGTGCCAGGCATGTCCCGCTCAGCGCAGCACCAGCCCACCAAGGCCCAGGGAAATGGCACAGCCTTTCCTAGAAATGCGCCCTGGAGCTTAAAAGATGGACCTAATTGAAAAAAAAAATGTATTGAGGTTGTAGCGGGGGATAAAAGGGAAAGCTGGGCTGAGATTAACCTGGAGCTCGGCGAGCCGGGGAGCGCAGCAGCCGTGGCCAGGTCCTTAAGCCAATTCCTGGCCGTGGCCTCCCTGCTGAATCCATGCCGGCAGGGAGGTGGTTTGTCCTGGATGCAGGAGAGCCCGGCACGCTCTGGTTTTGTGCATCAGGTAGGTGCTGATTTTCCCCTTTGCTTCCAACCCCCCCATCACAGCAGCTCCTGCCTCGCTCGTGCCACATCCCGGATTTTCTTCAGGGGTGTTTTCTGCCTGCTCGGTTCCTGCTCGGTCTGCTGGTCCTGCCAAGAGGCTGTGCTTGGGGAATGCTGGAGCTGCTCCAGTTTCCCCGGAGTCTGCATCCTCAGCTGCTTCCTGGTGACATCCTCCTCCCTTCCCATGCCTGGCATCCCCTCCGGGTACCACTCGCCAGCCCTGGATCACTGCGGGGCTCCAGGAGGGAGTTCCTTTTCCCCTCCCAGCACTTGCTGCCTTGTTGCCTCTTCCAGCTCCAGCAAGTCCCATGCAGTGGCCCTTCAGCCCCTTTCTGGGGCAATCCCTGAGCCAGGCTGGGACCTGCCCTTTCCTCTGCTTGGGCCAGAAGGGATGGGGGCAGAAGGGGGGCCAGGTGGTGTCGTAGCTCCGTTAGCACAGAGCCAGGGTGACGTGTCACCTGCGTTAGCAGACCCTGGGACTCCATGACCCAGAAAGCTCCTTCATCCCCCTCCCTCCTTGCTAAAACGAGCCCAGCTGGTGTTTGCAGGAGCAGCTCCTTGAAGGGAGCAGGCAGAGCTGCTCCGGGTTCTCCAGCCAAAGCTTTTCTTGTGGCCGGTGTTTGCAAAACACATCCCCTTCCCTGCGGTTCCCCTGGCGCCTGGGAAACCATCAGCTCACCCTGCCCTTCACCTGAAGGGAAGTTCAGAGGCTGCCCTCCATCCTCCCCCCCATCAGTGCCTCAGCCCCCTCCATCCTCTCCTGCACCAGGGCAGGATGGAGTTGGTGGGTTGGGGAGCACCGAGCCTGGGGAGAGGAGCAGCTCAGCTG